CTGGCTGGCTGGCTGACTGGCCTGGCCTGGTTGACTGGACCGGCCCGTTGTCTTCTCGTCTGGCGCATAATTAATGATCTGCTCCATATTCACGCATTGGTGTAGGTCTACGACTACGTCTCTGTCCCTGTCCCTGTCTCTGACTGCGTTTGTCCGGCAGTTGCAGTGCCTATGCGCCTGCATCTCTGCGTGTCCGTGGGCTGGCAGAGCCCGAGTTTAGATTTGGGATTTACAATTTCTTGTGTTCCGGCAACTGTCACTTTTCTATCTCTGGGCCACGTGATGTGCGTGCGAGACGCCAAAGAAAGACTTTCCTGGACAGACGCTGAGCACTGCGATAGGCGCGTTGCCAGCGATATGTGAGCTGCAGCGCGCAGCGGTGTGGGAGGAGTAGTTGCATCTGCTTAGCCAGCGTAAACACCATAACTCATGCTCGCCTGGGCTGCCACCGCTGAACCACCTTAAGCCACCAAGTTGACAGACAGCAAGTTGACAGGCCACGTTTTGCCCCTCGATTACCCTCTCTCTCAATCTCACTCTCTGCCTCTCCCTTTCTCTCTCTTTAGCATAATTCCATTTCTTATCGACCGCCCGCGCTGTCGCCTGCGTGTGGCCGAGATGCTGTTTGGGGTTTTGAGTGCTTGCTGGAGTATGAGTGGCTGTGGGAGTGGGAGTGGGTGGGCCAGGCCGTGGGGCTCTGGGAGCTGCACGCGCACTCAGCTAATCAACGCGGCCTCAAAATGTAAAGAGGCGCATCCTACAGCAAATATTGTCGCCATTTTCTGTCTGCCACGCGGCTCAACCCCCATGCCAGCTCATCCACTTTTATCCCTCACTTCCTCTCTCTCCCTCTCCCTCTCCCTCTCCCTGCGTAACTGTCGCTCTGTCTGTCAAACTCGTGCAAAAAGATACTTTTCTTCTTATTTTATTTTTTTTTTCTTTATCTGCATTTTTGTTTTTATTTTTCTGCTGCTTTTCGCTTTCTTCGGAAAGTGTGAGTGCGAGCATGTTTTCGTTTTCCCCACATTTTCCTTCTTTCTTTTTCTTCTTCTTTTTTTTTGACACATAAAAGGACACGCACCGCGTCACATCATGAAAGGATTGATTAATGATTCGTTGATTTTCGCCCTTATTCTCTTTAGTTACACTTGGGCACATAATCCGCCTCGTCTCCAGCGCCTCTATTCCATTTCTGCGCCAGCAGGCACCGCGCATCACCACACACACACAGCCGACCTAGTCGAGTTTTACGTAAAATAAGTTTTCAAGAGAAAACAATGCCTCGCCGAGTTTCCCTGCCAATCCATTGTCAGCAGCCAGCCAGTTTGACCAAATACGCTGCCATTTTGCATGCGCACCTCCGCATGCCATTAGCTAATTTCTTAAGGCCGCAAATCTATTATGAAATGGTGTAGTATGATATAAGGAAGAAATGTATATTCAAATGTAATATGTAAAGTATATATATCTTAAAGTTATGAATCAATCCGCCAGTCTGAATATTATTATCATATGCGGCAAGGCAATATTAAGTTTGTGATTTGATTTGCATATCTATTCTCAGTTATTCCCAGCCTACTTGGGTAGTATGATATGGTATAATACATGCACATATTCAAAATGGTTGCAGGATTCATTGATGACTTTTCATTCAGATCTGCTCGGATGGTCTTTTGTTAGGTAATTTTTTAAGGCTTTCTTATTTATTCATGATTTAGATTCTGTGAAGTAACAAGAACATATTTATAGATTTCGGATTTTATTGGCAGCAAAATAAATAATTTAAATATTAATTTAACTAAATATATGAACTAAAATGTATATATTTTGTATTTTTATTTTAATACAAAATCACTAAAAGTCAGTCGACGATAAATGAATTTAAAATCATAAAGTTCGCTCTACTTTAAATATAATCAAGTTATAGTATCTATACTCTAAAGCTATACTCTAAAGCATTTCAAGCTTGTCTTTGAATGGTATAAAAAGTTCATGTATTAGAAGTATTGAGTTCATAGGATACTTAAAATGTAGCCGAATAATATTTATATTGGAATATATGATCAGCTAAGGTCAAATAATTTCAGATTTAGCTTTCATGAAATCATTCCGCAAATTATAGTCTAACACTTGTTAACTAATTTTGTTCTGTTTGATATGCTTATTTAATTCTATTTTAAATACTGCCTATGCTTTCCATATACAACATGCATTTTACTTAAGTTAAGCTAATAAAAAGAAAATATTTTTTAAAAGTAAAAGAATAATGAAAGACATATTTATGAGACATGACGTGAGTGAAATGAACTGACAGTTTAACTCTTGCTGTTATGATCAATATATGATATGTCGAGCATATATGAAATATCGGTCAAAAAATCTATGTAGCTTAAATGAAGTCTTAAGACTATTGATCTAAATGATTTTTTGATTTAAATGATTTTTGGCTTACAGGTTTCCTTAAGGCACAAGATTATATACATTCTATGAAGCTCAAGAGTTTTACGTGTTTTCAATTTGACACATCCTTTCTATATCGAGCCATAATATAAATACTAATTAGCTTTTCTCTTGCAGCCCCTTGAGCTGGGTATCTTAAGTAATTATAGGAAATTGTATTAAACAGCAATGGCTTTCACCCTCTCCCGCTCCAAATGCACTTTGACTTATCAAATGGAATCCATTAAACGAAAACAAATACTAGCTGGCGAGTACAGCTCATGAATAAAAGAGCAGCGGGAAAGTAATTATCATTGGCCATTTCACACGAGGCATTCACACTCCTGTGCCACTTCTGCCTCAACTCCCAGCTGCCCCAATGACAATGACAGTGACAATTAAGAGCAAGCAGGACGAGAAAGTGTGGGTGCGACTCGCATTGGGAGTCTACGCCACGCACCTTGACAAAGTGTTGATGGATCAAAGTAATTAAACAGGGCCTCAGCAGTAGACTAATTCCAGCTCGAGTTGAGTTTTGACCAATGTCCATTCGTTATTAGCGCTTAAGCAGTTGTTGAGAGCACGCAAACCCAGAGGGCTGACCATTCGGAGCAGAGTTTGAGTTGGAGTTGGAACAGAGGGGTCAGGGGATGGGACGTGACATGTGTCGACACTGAATGGGACTGGACTAGCTCAAATCACATTCACATTTTCGCATGCCAGTAGACAGCGCTGACCACTTGGGGTAAAAGTAAAACCAACTCCAACTCCCAACTCCTTGCGACACTCAAATCCTCATTCCCACACACACACACACACACAGCCACGCACTCACACTCACACGCCGGGAGACAGTCAGGGGTGGAACCTGGTGTTTAAAGTGTCGAGTTTTGCGTCTTAAAACTAGAAAAATGATTCCGCTCTAGCAGCTCTACCTACTCGGTTTTAAAATGCGTTTAAGCCCGTGAAACGTAGGTTGGCCCAAAACGGACAACAACAACAACAGCAACACGAAATGAGTCGAAAACATTTAAAAGGCGAACTGCGTAAGAAACCTTCATCAAATTTGACTGACAGGTTTTCAAGATGTTCGCACTGCCAACCAACTGTTTCTCTCCCAACTCCATTTCTTTTGGGCTGCTGCCAGTCAAAATGGCCAACGTCACTGCCAAGTCTCTTTGTTGGCAAAGATACAGTTTTACTTTAAAGTTATTTTGTAGAAAGTTGAGCAAATATTTAATAAACGAAAGATTAACTAATTGTATGCCTTGCCATAATTGAGCACAAGTTATTAGCCAATATTTTGAGAGAAATTTATATCCAATATATAGAATATTTAATAAATATATAAACTTGTATGTATCCGTTTTTTCGTATATTAATATATTTGTTATGTTTTATTTTCTAAACATCTAAATTTATTCTACTTAAATATTTTGATTTGTTTTTTTTTTTTTTTTGTCTTTTTGTTTTTAATTATTCGTACAATATATTAACAATTAACATCAACTCAAAATACTGCTGTTGGCGCCATCTATTGTACAGTAGTTGGCTAGCTATCTTATTATCCACAATATTTAGTATGGACACCAACCAGTCGTACCTTATTGCTGTGCTACTTTACACGCAATGCCGGTCTTTTTCTTTAATATCAATAACAGAGATATAACGCTTATCGATAACTTTGAGCTGTGTCTGCACTTAACAGAGCTATGTTAATGCTCATTTCGTACCAAACAATTCGAAAAAAAAGTTATTCCAAATTATTGAATTATGGCATTTTCCATATCGAACTTCAAGTTTATGGAGTCAGAAAAATGCGTTAGATATGATTTTATTGTGTAAATTCTTTTAAATTACATTTATATCAGATCAGTATGATAAAAAAATCGCAAAGCGAAGACGAAGAATAGAAGAAGTCGGCAGATAATTTCTCTGATGATACAATCAGGAAGTGGTATATAATTGTTAATTGTGTTAAACCTTGTTAATTTTTTATTAGCAATAATTAATAAACACATGATCCAAAGCCAGCAAAATTTACAATATATAATGAAATGACTCAAATGGAAGCTATAAAAAGTGGAAGCTCATGAAGGAGGAAATATGAAATTAGCGATGCCATAATAATTAAATTAGCCTAAATTGTATTTTATAATTTTAATCAATCAACACTTAAAAATATGAAAAGTATTTACTTTTGTAATTCGAAGCAAAATGATATATGAATTCAAAATATTTGATTACGATAAGTAATTAAAAAGTAAACATTAACAAAAATATATTAACTATAAAAAAAACTAGTTCACTTTTGTAAGTTGTTGCCATGTGAACATTTTGTTAACACTTTAACAAATTACTTAATTTCCCTTTATCATTTTACACTTTATCAAAGGTTTATAGCAAACGTGGCAAGTAGATTATTTTATCAAAAAATTATTATCAACTAATTGCGACCAATTTGTGTGTCAAGCAAACGGAGGCCCATCATTTACAATAATACGATTTCTGTTGCTATCTAAATAACTTAAGAAGCCCTGAAATTGGATCCGTTGCAATGCACAGTCGCCATAGGCAGTGCAGATGGTATGAATGTAAAATCTGCATTTGTGCACGTCAAGTTGATTCGCTGGCAGGTTGACAGTCGTCGTAGGCAGTGCAGACGGTACCGGATGTGCTTTCGGGCGGCATATGCAAATAGCATTCAGTGCACGGCCATTTGCACAAGCTCAGCAAAATTGCAAACGGGCCACAAAATCGGCAGACGATTGACCCAAATGCCGAGCCGGAGCTCCCTTAACGCGAATCGTGTTGGCAATTTGTATGCAAACTCTCATATGTAAATTTCAGCTGCACGGCGCATAAATTGAAGTCGGCAAGAAAGAAAACTTTGCAATGTCTTCTCGATGCAACAATAAACTCATTTTTTTAAGTGTAGCAAATATAAAATATATGTGCAAATATAGAGAATACTTTTTGCTAAGCTCAAACATAGAGCCCAATAAATTATAAAAAAAAGTAGGAGAAAATATGAAGGTATATTTTTGGTTGTTTATAACTAATCAATAATAGCAAAGCCTAGACATTCAAAGAGAAGCACATATCATGGCAACTTCAGAAGCCTACAAGTCTTATCTATACTTATGATGGCTTGTCATCATCTATAACTATTTCAGTATTATTAGTTAAAATAATTGAAAGTGAGTCAACACGAATTGAGCCGGCATTAATTTCCTCGTATTTAAACTGATATTTTTGATCTAAATTTAAAAATCAAAAGTTGAAAGATTACAAAATAAAATAGTAAAATTTAGGCTTTGCTATAATTTTATTTAAAGTGAATTTTAATAACATAAGCCCATAGAACTATTATTATAAATTTTTTTTTATAAAAATATAAGAAATGATGATTTTTTTTTAAATCATTATATCATATAATCATTTTACAATTTAATTTCAACCGTTTGATCAAAGCCTTAAAGATTAAACATACAATTTCAAAATATATTATTTATTACTCTTATTATTGAAAAATAAAATAAAATGAATACATTTATTATGACATCAATAGGTCATTGATATAAAATAATATTTATTTAGCTAAAAAGATAATGCTTGCATGTTTTTCCCAATTATTTATAATAATCTTATTTTATTTATCAATCTTTTTATATATTGCTTATTTTTTTCTAAATTTACATTAGTATTTATTATATTAAATGATATTTATATAACTATAACAAAATTTTGCAAATGTACTGATAACAAATTTATAATATTTAAATGAAATAAATCAAAACTTAAACTAATATATTAAATATTTAATTGAAATAGATCAAAACTTAAACTAAAACACATTTAGTGAAATATTAAAAGTATTAAGTATGACTAAAATATATTTATAATTAATATAGAAATATTTACCTTAATGTCATGCCTTTATCTCTTATAGCAAATTTATAATATTTAATTGAAATAGATCAAAACTTAAAGCACACATTTAGTGAAATATTAAAAATTTTAAGTATAACTGAAATATATTTATAATGAATATAGAAATATTCACCTTAGTGTCATGGCTTTATCTCGTTGATAAGATTCCTACGGCATTTAAGAATGAAAAAGCTGCGTGATTCATATGATTAAATGCTTAAGATAGCCAGCACAAATATTTACAGATAAATGAATATTATTTCATAGTTTTATTTTTATTGCGTATGAACGTATATATGTTTAGGAATTAAACAGATTTCGTTAACTTTTATTGCTCGTATTCAGCTGAGATTTCATTCTTATCTGTAGATTTGTGCGTCGAGTCAACAAACGTCAGCAAATCACAGCCGTTATCTATGGATCCTACAAAGAGTAATTTACGGTGTGTGGTAGTAGCAGATGGAATCTTTCCATGTGAAAGACATTAGACTTTAACTTAGAAATAAACACGTTGGTTAACACTTTATAGAGCACGGAACACTCCCGATTCACATTCGATTCGCTGGACAATGAGCCACATAAACCTCTCTAGAACCGAATTTGTCCTTAAAGCTATGGTACAACAAATTCGGATCTACAGGGTAGACGTGGAACAGAGTGGAACATTGATATATGTGTATTTATATACACATTTATGTATGTGTATATATTGAAGTTGTTGAAAAGTTGTGAAACCTGTAAAAGTGAATTGTAATTTGCAGGAACGATTTGAATAGAGTTACGGCTATAATTTCAGTGTCGTGCCACACGTGATGCGAAATTATGAAATGACCCATAAAAATGATTACATTGCGCGCACACACAATCACATCGTGTGTGTGTGTTAGTGTGTGTGCGAGTAATTATACTGAAGCACATGGAAAGCTCCCCGGCACGAACGAAGCGGCGTGCGAGTCCTTGAAGCAGCCCAGCCAACTCCTGCGTTGTCTTCAGCAGCACAGCGAAGCAGCAACTGAAGACGACTCGTTGAACGCGGCGGCCAGGTGAGGGCGCTCGATTAGGTGGCCCGGCCCCAAAATCTATTTGTTTTAATGCTTGATAAGATAGCCGCTGTCTTCCAATATGTCTTGCGCATGTTCTTAGCGCTTTGTGTATCTAATTGATGGCGCACGGATTAGAGCACTTTCTTCATATCGATATTGAGTCGGGGACACCGAAGACTTTGCTCTTCTTGGTGTTGTTGTTGTTGCTGTCGTTGTCGCCTGCGATAAGAGGGAAGCACATTAAATGTATGATAGATAGATTTTGAATAAGTATTTATATGTGTGTTTGCTTTGAGGCCAGGAATCAATCAGGTAGTTTAAGAGCTCCGCCAATTCCAGCTCCAATTCCAATTCCAATTTCGATTCCCATTCCAATGGCTGCACTCAGCCAAATTTGTTTGCACGGTTAAGACGCCAGCGTCGATTAGGCAGGCGACGACAGAGTTGGCGCCATGTGGCAAAGCCTTTTGCTAAGCCCCCCAATGACAGTTGCCAGTGTGCTGCTGTCCCCTTTCCCTTCATTCCGTCTATTCCGCTTCTCAGTGATGATTCAGCATAAGCATTCGCAATACTGCTGAATAATGGAAGAGTCAGCAGCAGCAGCAGAGGCAGCAGCAGCAGCAGGCGGGCAGAACGCGTCTGAAATATGGAACAAATCATTGCCATTGTGCAAGGTCGTTGGGCATTGCAAAGATCCTATCTATAGACATACATATGAGTGAGTGCGTGTGCTTCTCTCTGTGCATGTGTGCGTGTGTGTGTGTGTGTAACAGTGTCCTGCAAGCAAAGCATTTTCGAAACAATTAATTAATGACTTTTTAGCGTTATTCATTAGCACTAATCGCCTAGGACTAAACTTAACTAAGCCGCCCCTAAGCTGCTAGAGAAAGGGGGCGCGTGCCTGGGCGCAAAGTCAAGCTGGCTAGAGTCAAAAACCTTTCGGCCGTAGGCAACTGAGATCCCGGATTAAATCCAGTAATGGCAACAAATCTTGCGTAAACAAAGGCAGGCAGGCAGGCAGGCAAGCAAACCAACTCCTATCCTTCACACACACACACACACACTCGTGCTCACTCGCTCTCGCTCTCTCTCTCTCTTTTGCTCTCGCACACACACATACACACGCACACATTCATTGACTGCGCTGCTGCTTTGTCTTTTTTTGGTGGTTGCGTTTGTCCTTTCTGCAGCCTCAATGGCTGCGAGCGCTCTTGCTCTCACTCTCGCTCCGTCTCCCTCGCTCTCTCGTTCTCCTTCTCTCCAAACGGTATACACACAATCCACAAATGCGAGAGAGAGCCACAGCACAACAGGGTGAGCAGCAGCAGAGGCAGAGACAGAGGCAGAGACCGAGGCTGAGGCAGCGGCAGCGGCAGCTGGGTGTTTTTACATGAGCTGCCATTGCCGTTCGCCCTGCTCTGGTGGTTGCTATCGAGGATAAACGAGCACGATTCGTGCCGCTAGCCACTGGCTGCTGGCTGCTTGGCTGCTTGGCTGCTGGCTGCTGGCTGCTGGGCGAGCGCTGCTCTAAATACTAATAATTAACTAACCTTGGCAAATTAACGCATCTCCGCCAAATTGAAGTTTTGCGAAAAATGCATTACATCATCGACCCAGCCCCAGTACAAATCGTACAAATCGAATGAATCCACAGACCGCATTGCCATTTAATATGCTAATTGATTTCACGTGGAACGCTGAACGCGCTGTTAGCACCAATCCGATCTGGCTAATACCGACAACTGCGATGGCCCAGCGAACATTTTGTGCAAACTGTCAGCACACTAATGAAACAAATGACAAAGCCAATAATTAGATATTTCGAGAGTTCCGTTTAAGTAAATATTTTATGCGAAATTGTCTAAGAAATTACTTCGCATCTTCTTCTTCATATTCTATAAATAAAATGTTTGAATATGTGTTTATAAAACAATCCTAAAATAAAAAATTTAATTTTAATTTGTAAAATAATTATTTTAATATTGTAAACTTAAGGCAAACTGATTTTTTACTGCTCTAAATTATTTTGTAATTTTTTTTGTAATTTTATATCAATTTATAAACTGAACTCTCCACTCAATGCAAAATGACTTCTATGCTCCAAACAAATGTCTTACTTTTAATATATTATTTCTCATACATTATTGTCCAACTGCTAAGCGGACTGTTTGCCTTAAGCGAGTACACATAAACGCAAGCGAAGTAATAACAACGTAGATATCATACAAAAAGTTCAGTTTCTATATACGGCATGCGCTTATCTTAAGATAAACATGATGAATAGTAGCGAAATCAATTTGGAGACCCCTTCAATTGGGGGGTTTCCAAGGCGAGTGCGTAGATAATTTCGGTTTCGTCTTATCAGTGAGTCGATAAATGCACGAGCTTTATAGCAAATACATATATTAATGTAGCCATTATGGAACAGGTAAACACTATTGTTGTATAACATGCAGAGTGTGCGAATGTGTGTGCAAGTGTGTGTGTGTGTGTGCGTGTGTGCGGCTCATTGCATTTACAGTAAAGCCGAACGGAAGTGCACGAAAGGTAAGTCGCGAAAAAGTGCGCTCGACGTGCCCGCTCCTCCTCCCCCTGCCCGACAGCGACACGCCGAGTGGAAAGGAAACGGGGCGATGACTGGCGAATTAAGAGAAGACAGCTTCGCACATAAATCAAAACTGACAACGGGCGACGGGCGACGGGCGACGAGAGAGGGCCACAGTGTCGGTTGAGTTGCGGCAATAGAATAGAATTCCCAAAGTGTTAACTAATGCACATTTGCAATGGGTTTTGTCACACTGTACTTGGCAGCGAGTGTTTCAGCGGCGTATCTGCCACAGTTATTTGTGTGCATCTCGTCGATTGGATATGAAAACCGGCGAGCGGAGAGAGCTTGAGGCCAAGGTTGTTGCTGTTGTTGCTATCAGTTTGTTGTTGCTGTTGTTGTTGTTGTTGTTCTCATATACGAATTTCGGTTTCGGTTTCAGAGCGCGAAATATTTCACTGCTCGCCGTTGCGTCTTGTTGTTGTTGTCGGCGATGTTCGCGAGAAGTTTACGAAAATGGGTGCAGGTAGAAGATAAAGAGAAATAAAAGAATTTCAAAACGGTTCGCCTCACCTTTAGCCGTATTTGCTCTTGTAGTTGTTGTATCTGTGTGTGTGTTTGTTTTTGTTGTTGTTTTGGTAGTCAACCTGCAAGTTGCGGCATTTTGTATCTGTATCTGTATCTGTATCTGTATCTGTTCATGTGCAGCGTATCTGTATCTGTATTCTACTCATACCGGTTGCTGCTGTTGCTGTTGCTGTGGCTGATGATGTTGTTGGCGGTGCCTTTGCCAAAGTTCCTGTTTGTTGTTTACAATATTACGCGCCTTCCTTTCTATATGTACATATATACATATACATATGTATTATCTTCAGGCTCTTAATGAAAATTAGTTCTCACAATGGTTAAGCCCTAGTGACAAGGGCAGAAAATCCCCATAAACAAGCTCTCTCTCACTTCCCCCCCTCTCTAACGAGCAGCTGCAGCTCAGACAGAAAACACACACGAAATTTGCATGAATTTCGAATAAATATGCCAGTGCAGTCTGCCAGGACTTCGAACCAAAAGTGCATTCAGTTCCCACTGCTCGAAAAGAGGCTACGAAATTTACCCCCTTAACTAGGGCTGCGCCCGGTTGGCCAGCCAGTGCAGCACACTCGCACACCCTGTAAATGTGTTTTACACAGGCAGAGCCATCTGCCAGCCAATTATATACGATTCTTGCTAATCGCCAACGATCTAATCTTGATCGCATATTTGTTTAAGCTCTATATCTATTAGCAAACGTTATAAATCAGAAATGTTTGTATTGTTCTTGAGATTAGATATGAAATCAACGCGATTTGTACTCTTAAGAGTATCCGCTAGTCGGCTTACTAACGAAATCTTTAAAGAAATATCTATACTTTAATCTAAAGTGATAATCGTTTGCTCAGTATAGAAATTTATGAGGTATATTACTTTATAAGCAATCCGCACATTGAGAGAAATTAAATTTCTATATATAGACCCTTATATACACACATATATCTATACATTTTCTATATACATATGTGATTATATTTATATGTATATGCTCTTTTAAAAACAAAACACCTGACAAAACGCCAAAAACTTGTTTTACTCTTTTGATTTCTCTGATCGTTATAATGTGTTAATTACCATAAGATATACGAATAATTTCTGCTTTTTGGGCCATGCGAGCCAAATGATTATTTTGGGCAATATATTTCAGTTTTTTGCATTCAATTGTTAGCCAGCTTTTGTTCTCCGTTTAATATTGAATCAACTCTCAGTAATGCCTCAAATTCTTGCATGGCTTAGGCCCATAAAAAAGGCGCATGTTTCACTATATATGGGGTTTTTTTCAGTCGTATAAAGAATTTGGGTCATATCCACAGGAATCGCATGCATTTTGTGAGGAATGTAAATATTTGAATAGCCAACAACGATAAAGAAATATAACATGCTCATAGCTTGGTATGTGAGTCTACATGAATATATTATATATAAATATAGCATATATATAATATATATATAGTTTATATACATGTCGTATTCAGGTCAGCAAACAGAGTCAGCTTATGCCAGTAGAGGGAGTCAGGTCCACGTTTGTCATAAAAAGAAGCGCCGGCTCCAACAAGATTTCAATAATTAATGAGCGAATGCATAAAATAAACATAAAAGCGATTGGCCCATTGGCCAACTTAATTGTTCAGTCGGCGAGGCTTTTATAGATATACACAAATGTATGTATATGTAGGTATATATCTGTAGATCTATACTTTTATTTTTGCAATTCAATTTGCATAAAGCAAAGCAGCTGGAGAAATCAGTGTAAAAACTCCTTGATGAGGCGTTGGCAGTAATTTGATAATTTTCCACACATTAAGCTGGCTGCATAAACGTCGCAGTTTCGCCAAGTGTCTCGTAATTGGTGTAGATGCATGCCACAGACACACACGCACACACACATGCACATGCACACTCTCTTTGAAATGTGGGCGCAGACAGAGTCGCAGTCAAAGTCCTGGCAGCTGCAGCAAATGCGTTGCCCCGAGTCCTGTGACCTTAGCCAAATTTGGGTTTCAGGCGACGCGCCATATTGCGCGACACATACACACACACACACACACACACGCACCTTACACACACACATAGAGAGACATTAAATGCAGCAGGGTTGCAATTTTCGGGTTGGGTCAGCGTCAGCTCTGCAGCTTCGCTTTACAGCGCTGGCAGCTCTCGCTTTTTTTTTTTTTTTTTTTGGCAATTGCCACTAATATTTCGGTATACTACTTAACCCATGCATTAAATGGCGGGACAAGTGTTTTATAGCGCGCATAGAACGCACAACTTGGACTTTGGCTGGGGGTTGATTGCTGCTTAAGTTGTTGTTGTTGCTGCTGCTGCTGCTGCTGCGACTGTGGCTGATAGCGCGACAGCGAAGCTTGGTGGGAGCTGGGGTATTGCTGTTTCTGCGCAAATGAAAAGTGGTTGAAAGGCGCTGGCGTTGGCTGCTTTGCACATTTCCGGGCGCGCACAGCACACACACACACACGCACACGCACACTCATGCAGAGAGGCAACGAAATGAGGACAGACGCAGTCACTAGGAGCTCTGCGAAAGCAGGAGAAGGGCCGAGCTGGGCCCCCAAATTCTGGCACATGCGTACAACCAAATGGCCAGCATCGCTTTGGCGGCTGTCCTTCGTTTTTCCATTGCGATATTCTTTGGGTTTTTCAGTTGCCGTCGAGCAATTTAATAAAGTGCGCACTAGGAACTCACCTGCGGCCATTAGCCAGTTTACCTGGTTCGCTCAACTCTAAGACCACCTGACAGGCCCGTCTTGAAGGCCACAAACCTTCGTCGTTTTCAATGTTAACACTTTGCACATTGTTGAAGTTTGGGGCTTTTGCCCGCCCGCACGCATCCTGGGCAGCCGCTGGGCTGCAGGATGTGCTGGCAGCGACGTCGCTGTCGACGGCGACGCCGACGGGAATGGCAACGGTAGCGGTAGCGGTGGCGGTGGCGGTAACGGTGGCGGTAACGGTGGCAGCGACTATGTCGTTGGCAATGGCCGCGCTCTCGTTTTTAACGAACTGCTGCGCTCGGCGTCAAATTTCAAACTAAAGTCAGTTGTCCCGGCATGGCCGCAGCTAAAACCCAGTGAGAATGCGACCCTCCAAGCCAGAGTTACCCAGCAGGAAACTGCCGGTCGATGTGGTGTGAAGAGTCACTCGAGCGGTGAAGCGAGCGAAAGAAGAAGCAACTCTAGCTAGGTACATGACTATTCAGTGGACTTGTAATGTCTATATGCATGTATGGAAAACAAATGAATGTAAGGCTTCCAATGAATATCTGAAAATTAATATATGTAAATCTGAGCAGAAAAATGTGTTAATGGGAAAACCCCATTATTGAGCCGTTTTTAAATTATTTAAATTATTTAAGTGTTAACAAGAATTATTTAAAAAAATTTCAAATATGCGTATATACATTATATATTTATATAAAACAGATATATGAATGTTAAACTTAATAACGCTGCATACGAAGCTTAGTCGAAAATGTGTTACTTTTTCCGTATATTATTTCATGCTCGATTTTCCTACTGGGTCTCGTGATATTCAGCAACAACAGCAGCAGCAGCGACAACAGCAACAACAACAGCCGCAGCAGCAGCAAACGGTGCTTTTTGTTAAAGTTGATAACAGCCATGTTGCTTTGGTTGTGTGTGTGCAAGCGAGCTGATTTTTGTGTATTGGTGTGAATGCGCGCCATGTATGTATGTGTGTGAGTAACACAACCACCTAGCACCTAGCGCAAAAGAGCGAGTGCGAGTAAGAGAGCGCGACTAGGAATACACTGAACGAAAAATCGTATTTTATTTATTAAATGTGGTTTTGCAGCAAGCATATTGAAACTGACGATGTATTATTTAAAAATGAATAAAATATTTCGACTTCATACATGTCTAGAGACATTTTAATAAAATTTAAAGAAAAATCACAAAGATTTGCTTGTTAAAAATTCTAAATTAAGTTCCTTAAAATTGTTGCCTTATTCTTTGTAGTGCATTAAGATTCATTCATTTTCTAGGACATGCCTTCTGATACATACACATATATACACATGGCATGCACATATATACATGTGTAGTCGTATGTGAGCGTATGTATGCCTGGGAGAGCGGCACAACTTAGCATTGGCTGCGTGTAGACTTTGTGGATTGTATTTCCAAAGCTACATACATACATATATACATACATTTTCATGTGCGTGCTCAGCAAGGACTCTCGCTGAAAGAGCAGAGCGGGCCAATTTTCGAGGCTGAGTATCCGTGTGGCCTGCTCAGCAGCTAACTGGAGTCAATGAAACTTCTTTGTTGCACGCTCCGCGCCTTTCAAAATGAAATCAAAGTGGGATATTTAAAGCCTCATTAATCAGACGCAAGCTATCCACCAGAAGAAAGCCCCAGCTTCGAGGCGATGCCGAGGTGTCGACTGCCCCACAGCTCGGGGCTCACAACTTGAGTGCGTTAATGCGCTCATTAAGCTCAAATTTGTTTCATTGATAATTACTAGATGCTCGAATCGGACATTTTATTTTCGGAAAAAAACTAGATAATATTATTATTTAATAAATCTATTTATGTTTGTAAATACTATGCATTTATGAAGTAGACATGTAAAATCAGTTGCTTTACTACTTATAGTCCTAGATATTAGACCTCGATATATTATTTTTTAAACAAAAAGCTATTTTATTTATTCGCTTTATTATCATATATTTTAAAGCACCAATCGTTGATGTCTTTAGTAAATCTCCTATCCTCTGTGTAATTATTTTCTATGCCTAATGCTTTCCCAAAATACAAAAACTACACACTACGATTTACAATCCATTTTTTCTTTTTCATATTGCCGATATGTACGGTAGCTATATTAGCTATATATATATATATATATATATATATATATATATATATCTTTTTCAAATTTCTTGTATATTATATTATGTTTACATAGTTTATTTTATAATTTAATATTTGGAAATAATATTGGACTCATTAATAAAAATAACGTCTTGAGCTCACAAAAATATAAGGAATTGTAAACCTTGAGCAAAGATATCTGTATAGTTACAAAAAACCATTTGTAGTTCTAAGCAAAATAAAAGAAATAGAAGAAATAAAAAAAAACATGCATCAGGCAAAGAAAATTTTTGTTCTATTGTCTAGGAAGTTTCATAATTTATGGCCCATATTTCCTGCACTTTATTGATATTTGGAAAAATGGAAATTTTACCTGAATTTAACATTTTTGCAATAGCCAAAGGTCTGCAGGCCGAGGCCAACCTTGATAGATGCCATAGAGCTGTACAGTCGGAGAAATGCAACTGGTCGATTTCTCTTTGACGCAACGTCATGGAACAGTTTTGAAAATATATTTGACTCTGGTTTCTAATTATATCAATATTTGCATTTATTTAGTTGATTAACACGAATGTTTCTCGCACAATAACTAGTTCGGTTTGTATTTATTGTTGCAGCGCTTCAGCTGAGGCAATTTGATGATTTGTCGTAATGAATGCTAATTAAACGCATTCGTTTTCTAGTTCATTTGGCAGCCAAACAGCATCTGAATCTCTTGCTCCTCTCTTGATACTCCTATAAGTCTAGTTGCTGTCTATGTATTCGTTCAACTTAAGTGTTTCTCGGATGGCCAGGGCAGCAAAGTGTGTCAAAATTCTTAGGCGTATCCATGAAACAAAACCTTCCTCACACAGCCAGTCGAGCTGTGTGGCTGGCTATGTGCTCTAGCTTAGCAAACAGATAGAGAGATACCCACTCACACATAAACACGTCCACATATATACGCTGGTACATATGTAGCTGGGTATATAGCAAACATAGATACAGATAGTAGATATGCAGGGCCAGCCACAGATAGAGATAGCGATGTTCGGGCATGTTTCACACAATTTGGGTATATCCACGGCTCGAAACGTAAATGGAAAAGCAAATAAAAGGTGCTAATTTCATGAGGGTTCAATTAGACGTTTGGCTGCTGTACGATTTCTTTTTGTAGGTCGAGACTCTAGTTTAAATAAAAAACACTTCACAGCACAACACAACATATTCTCTCATTTTTTAAACAGTGAGCTCCTGCAGATGATTTTTAAGCATAATATAAATATAACAAAAATAAAAAAATTAAAATAAGCCAATAAAAAATTGGCTCGCCCGAGCAGGGACTTGAACCCTGGACCCTTGGATTAAAAGTCCAATGCTCTACCGACTGAGCTACCCGGGCAATTGCTTTGGATGTGCCCAAAAGCCTTTACACTCTTGCTATCGAAAAAGCTCATTCTGAGAATTCATGTTTGAAAGCTTTAAAGAACCGGAAAAAAGCTTTAATTTATTCAGTAAAACGCGATATTTTCTAAGGTTTCATGTTCTTAAAATAACATTTCTTTAATATCTTTAAATATAATAATATTAAAAAAAAAAAAAAAATATTGTGATCGGACGGCAAAAAGATTGTGGTCCAACAATTGGCAAGGCTGGTAATGGCAGACCACTCCGGTACGCTATCCCACTACTGCCTACCACGGGAACTCTTGGCTGCTGGTTTTCACCCCTGGCCCGGTTCATCCCTCCTTAGCCAACCTGAATGCCGTGGACTCCTCCTCGGCACCCATATTGATGGCAAGCTTAGTGCGGACGTTCCGTCAACATGGCTGGTCCACTACACAGTGATCCCCAGCCTCAGGCCATCCCACAATCAGACCTCACAGAAGCGTGATTACAGAAGATGCCAACCTTCCAGTCGACAGTTCCGTTTCTACAAATGTATTTATGTCACATTACTCACTGAACTGATTACGAAACGAAGCACTGCTTTACCAATCAACTGCTTTCATCAAAATCTACTTTCAAATTGAGACTATTTCGTTGAGGGCTCGGTGGTTTGTATGGTTTGAATCTTAATGAGGTTTGTTTAGCAGCTCAAAAATAATAATTAATATACATGCATATATCTCAAACGAAAACCGGTATATAATTGCCAGCGACCCGAGGTTACACTGCTTGGTTAACACTGCTTTTCAAAAAAATATTCAGTATTGAACTGCTTTTTTGTTATTACTCATGCTACTCATGAAAATAAGCAAAAAAATAAACTCGCCCGAGCAGGGACTTGAACCCTGGACCCTTGGATTAAAAGTCCAATGCTCTACCGACTGAGCTACCCGGGCATTCAAGCGGGCGCTGCCATAGTCCAATCAAGGCTGTTTTATTGTTGGAATGTCTGCAGTTATGTTAAAGTAAATTTAAAAATATTAAAAATAAATATATAAATATGTATATACATATTGAAACTAAATCTAAATTCAATGAAATATAGAAAGTATTTTTACTTAAAACCAAAGTGCGTTAACTTTATTTTTGATTTTATCAGAGAATATGAATATATTATATATTAGTGATCTTATAAATTTAATCTAATGCTTTATAGTAATTATTTATTAAATAAAAAATTTTTAAGAATCATCTTTAGTTGTAGAGAGATGGGATAGTTCAGAACGAGGGTTGCTTCCAAATTCCATTCTACATGGAGTATACATATTGAAATAGATAAAGAGTATAGTATAAAGATTATATTGATATAATGAAGATAAATTGAGTTAAATACCGTTTATATATGGACTTAAGTATGCTCTTTGTAGGGACTGCTATGAGAAATAATAGGATGCCTTGAGCACTCGGCACGAGGTCTAGAAACATTGCAACGTTTTGAATAATAATTTTATCACTTGTAGTTACAATTTGAGAGATTATAATTTCCATGAACCACAAACCGCCTGTTATAGCAAATAACCTGATTGACTGGGCGAAACTGAAAGGAAAATGGGAAATAATACATATGTAATATACTTATTATTATTAGTTTTTTCCTCTTGACATACTTAGCGCGACTTTTCACATTTCTCTTACTCTCCGAAGTGCCCAAATCGCGTCGGTTTTGTTTATTTTATGTTAATTAGAGTGGCAACCAATATGGGAGAAATAAAGTAGATAATTCCCGATACATCAATCACTAAAAGAAACTTCAATTAAGACATCTAATACATTATATAAGTAAATAGTTTTACTTTTGATCAAACAATTATAAACTCTCACTTCGGGTTTTAAATGGCCAGGAACATCTTCAGGTAAGTATCAATCAGCCCCTACAAAAGCCGTAAGTAATCTAGTAGCTATGCTCCAAACGATGATACTATATT